AGTTGAAATGAACAGTAGAAAAATTCTCGCAAATGAAATAATTACACATTTTATGAAAATGAAAATTTTGGAACAACTTACTGACGTGTGCTATCGCTGAATTTCTTTAATATGATTGTATAAAGGCGTGTGCACACGTCATTATTCCTCGTTGCAATTTGACGAAATATTACAAACATATCAATCACGTAATCATGTTTAATTAATGAGCTAAACCTTGATACTTTAAGACCCGACCGTAAAATTTTAGGAAATCCATCAAGACGATGCCTTTGAACTAAATTACTCTTCATTTCATATCAATATATCTTTCAGGATGGAGATTTACACTGGGGGTGCCAAATAGTTAACTGGTGAGGGCAACATGTGGGCTGGGGTGTATTGGCCCCCCAATTAACCTATATGTTAAAAAAAAGACCTGAATGGTGCACTCAGCTAAACTACAATCTGACCATTATATAACATGCAACCTAATTATTACTGACAGACCCACACCAGGCAAGGGGACGACAAGAGGATGAATGACATTATCCAGTGTCATACTCATTTGATAGTGACAATTAAAGCATTGATTGTAGAAACGAACATTAATATTCATTTTGACACATGATGTAACATAGGAGCAAACTGCACAATCATATATGGATCTACACTCATTTACATTCTTTGGATTTATTTAATATTCTCAATAACACATGTACCATCATGTACATGCACTAGTTTATTAATTTACTCTCAATCGCTAACACGACATAATTTTACTCATCAATGGAAAATAGTTTTATATTAATTATGACTGAGTTAAGCTACCCATATATGTGGCTATAAATGAATTACAGTAAATCCTTGTGCATACTACTTTACTATTGCTAATGCAAGATATTTTTACTCTGGTTAACATCAGACGATTTTACCGGCCAAAGAGAGGGGTAAGAGATGTCTTGAACATTATCTAGTGGGTTAACCCATTCAGCGATAATGCATACCCAACTGCACCGCCGCCCCCACTTTATCCTTTTACTCTGTCTAACAAGAGATGATTTTACTTGACAAGATAAGTATCTATCTGCCCATGCACCCTGTTCACCCTTTAAAGTAAGTGACAATGTGCCCTGGCTACTTTATTATTTTACTCTGTCTAACGCCAGATGATTTTACTCATCAGGGGAGGGTGCTGTCACTCGATCAATGTGTTAATCAGACAATCTGGCCATGTTTCCTGTTAACCTTTTAAGTGGCAATGTGCTTTACTTTATTATTTTACTCTGTCTAATGCCAGATGATTTTACTCATCAGGGAAAGAGTGCTGCCACTCAATGCATTAATCAGACTATCTGTCCATGTACCCTGGCTGTTAACCTTTAAGTGACAATGCACCCTACTTTATTATTTTACTCTGTCTAACACCAGATTATTTTACTCTGACTAACATCAGATGATTTTACTCATCAGGAGGAGAGTGCTGCCACTCAATGTGTTAATCAGACTATCTGCCCATGCACCCTGTTCACCCTTTACAGTAAGTGACAATGTGCCCTAGCTACGTCATTATAATTTTACTCTGTCTAACACCAGGTTATTTTACTCTGTCTAATGCCAGATGATTTTACTCATCAGGGGGGGAGTGCTGTCACTCAATACGTTAATCAGACTATCTGCCCATGTACCCTGTTAACCTTTTAAGTGGCAATGTGCCCTATTTTATTATTTTACTTTGTCTAACGCCAGATGATTTTACTTGTCAGGGGAGGAGTGCTGCCACTCAATCAGTAAGTGACAATGCACCCTACTTTATTATTTTACTCTGTCTAACACCAGATTATTTTACTCTGACTAACGCCAGATGATTTTACTCATCAGGGGGAGAGTGCTGACACTCAATGTGTTAATCAGACTATCTGCCCATGTACCCTACAATGCACTCTACTTTATTATTTTACTCTGTCTAACCAGATTATTTTACTCTGACTAATGCCAGATGATTTTACTCATCAGGGGGAAAGTGCTGCCACTCAATGCATTAATCAGACTATCTGTCCATGCACACTGTTAACCTTTTAAGTGCCAATGTGCCCTACTTTATTATTTTACTCTGCCTAACACTAGATTATTTTACTATGTCTAACGCCAGATGATTTTACTTATCAGGGGCCGGTTGTTCTACTCAAGTTGAAATATTTTAGTTTAGTTACTTGATGAATGTATAAACTTGATCAATATTTTCCACTTATCCACTGTTTAAGCTAAACACTGTTTAAGCTAAATTGGCAATTAGCAGATTCCTATCGGTCATATATTGGGAATCAGCAGTTTTCTACCGGTCAAGATAGAATTAGCGGATTCGTTGGGCCGATTCCTACTGGTCATGCAGATAGGAATCGAGGTGTAGCATACTATATTGCCAAATATTTATTATCAGAATCCCTTGTGGCTGAGCCGATTCCTACCAGTAAAAAATGGCGAATTAGCCGATTCCTATATACGTAGAATTTTACACATCTTTGACTATCGTTTATTATCATTTCTTTCTTCAAGTTTCCCAGAGTTTCAAGGTCAAAAAGGGTGGCCGAAAAGCTTTTGACATGTATACCTCATAAAATTATTAAATAATAAATATAATAAATATCATGTTAAGGTGGCTCCATACACTTTTCATCATCGGGGGACTGGTACCTAATCTTGAGTTTTCGCGCGAAAATATTAAAAATATATGCAAAAATAAAAACAACTTTTTCAGTCAAAAATCCGAACCACAAGTCATGTATATTTTGATGTTTTGAATTTCCTTGTTCTCATTTGTTCTCAAAGAACACACTTGGTCCTGATTTAGCCCTGAACATCGAATAACTAGTCTTTTTAGAAGACATTTTAAGGTAAAAAATGCAATGTTCAACGATCAAACTCTTGCGAAAAGAGGCGATTGGCCCGACCGGCGAAACATTTTTTTAATGCAATATTTGGCGATTTATAAGTTCATATCCAGAGTTTTTTGTACTTACAACTGGTAAATGTATTCAAAGTGTTACTAACAGCAAAGAAATTCAGTGAAACAGCATCATGCGCCGGCTGAAACAGCATCATGCGCCGGTTAAACTATTTTAAATTGTCAACAACAACATGAAAACACACAAGTTACGACCGAAAACGAATATAAAACTATGTAGAGAAGCCAAAAAGTTCATACATGTCACACATATCTTATACCAAACGACACAATCACCTGTTTTCTTGGCGTTATCCCGAGTTAGCATGCAAAACTAAATATGGATTTCTAAGCAAGAAAACACAACATATATTTGATATTTAGACGAGACTAAAAACTTTTTTGTGCGTGTTTTTCTGGAGATGCGCCTGCGAAAACATGTACGCGCATGTCAATTCATTGATCTTGCAGAGCTCGAAAAACTTTCGGCCGAGCGAGTGAGATACCACAATAAAACGGCGTAATTCAAAATTTTGCACGGTGACATGTGATGAAATTTTGCACAACGATAACTTCTTTTAAAACAAATAGAATATCAAAATTCTCTAAATCCGCAATTTTTTATTCTGACTATTCTAATCTACAGAATTTTTTTATTTTCAGGGATAAGACTCCGCATTAAAAGTGAAAGCTATACAGCAGTTAAAAATGGGGTGTCACCGGCAATATTCGGAAAATAAATAATAAAAAACCTGCTTAAAATAGCAAACAATACCATATTTGGCGAGACTACTGTTACCGTGGAAACAATATTATGTTCAAGAATATTGCAAATTTTTTCTATCAAATACTTAATTTATACTTGGGAATTCTTAAAATTAATAGATGAAGTGATAAAATTTATAAATTGAATTTTTTACGCAATAAGGTATTTATACTACGAACTGTATGGAGCCACCTTAATACAATGGAGGTGAAATTATGGCGGCATGTGGCTGTTTCCAATCATGCTTGATTTGTTAAAACCAACTTCAATTAAGATGCATGAAATTGTGTTTTGAGCCCTAAGTAAACAAATTCCGAGAGGAGTACCTGACCCTGCGGCCCCCAACGGTTTCTCACACCTCCACAGCTCCATCGTGTCAAAACATTTGTTTGCCCGGACGCCTCTGACATGCATGCCATTTAGCTATCCTTAGGCAACCTTTGCTAAAACTTTGTAAACAAATTTACAAATTTTCATTAGATGGAACTTTTTTAAAACAAATTTTGCAACAAGCAACTTCTGAGCATGATTGTTACTTACGTTCTAACAAGTATAGCACTATAGAAAATAGGAAACCTTTAACAGAAAACAATGTCAATATATTGAAAGTAATATTGTATAGTCTTTCAACACATGTCTTTGATAAATTTGTGATACAAGGCAAGAAGCGAACAATTTACAAACCTTCAGGCGCAGCCCTCGAAAACGAGGTCGGCATTCGGTAATGCCAACCTAAATGCCGACCTATCAACCTCCTTGGTTGGCAAATTTTTGCTGCATGACCTTAATTCAGCCAAAGTAAAGTTTTTTTGGTGCTGATACCTGTTAAACAGTCAGCGATTATAGAATTCGATTCGTAGTTCCGGATTAATTAAACACACTTCGGTGCAAAGTTTAAAAATTGATGGGTATTCTATATATATAATTTAGGTAAGACGACCAAAAGAAAAGCTTTCGTGTTACTGTAGTTCGCATTTCCGCGAAAAAGGCATGCTTTGTATTGCAATTTCAACGATTCGCAAATACGTGATTACTAGCTAGTGCTCCAAGACATGGAACAGATTTTAAAAAATGCCGAAACGTTCCGACCTAGGTCAGATTTAGGTCGGCATTTTTTTTGCCGACCTCAATTCTGACGGTTTTGGAGGGCAGAGCCTGGTTTAGATTGGCTTGTTTTCCTGTATTGATTACTCTTTAATTTTGCCAATAATCAATATGATAATGTTATCATGAACAAACACAATTTAATTTATAATTTATAACAAGAAACTAGCAACTTATTTCACTGACAACCTATTTTACAATGCATACAGTATGACTATGGGTTGATCTTCCTTTTCTTGGATATAGTAATGGGGTGCCTTGCGCTATTTCACCAAGAATTTCTTGTAAAAGATCATCGTTGTCCAGGTTCTGAGAGTTAGTAATGGTGTTGAAACTTCCATCTCCAATACTAAAAGGTGACTCCTGGCCATGATCGGGAGTGTCTTCAGAACATGCTAAATTGCGCTTTAAGAGACTTTGTTGATAATATTGGGATGTGGAAGGAAGTGAGTCGGCAATCGTACCACTAGGGCTACTGCATGAAACAGGTAAACTCTCATCAGAGTCGGAAGAATCAACCTCGAACGTCTTCACATTTTCTTTTTCCATGTGAGCTAAAAGAAGCTCGATTAATTTCTTCTCTGTTTAGTTTATCTGTATTTACTTCCATGTTTGTGGATATTTCAGTGTTTCGGACATTTTTTTCTCGCGCCATATTTTCAAATGATTTTCTCAAACACTCCTGGGCTTTTTTCAATTCTGCCAACTTTGCTTTCAGTTCCACCTCGAGCTCAGCGATTTTCCCTTTTTTGTTTTTCTTGACAGGGCATTTTTTAAGAATTCGTCAGTGGGGGGGCCATCTACAAAAAGGGACCATACTATACCGAGTGTGGAGCAATGATAGATGGTTTGTTGGTAACAAAAAGTTTGGTGTGGTATCGCATTTAATAGTAGGGTGGGGGGGGAGAGCAGGGCCGTAGGAAGCTCTTTTCGTTTGGGGGGGGGCTGAAAGCGAGGGCCGAAGGCCCGAGGAAATTTTTAAATTTAGAGTCTCTGAAATGCCATTTCCTGGACTTTGGGGAAGATTTGACAGATTTCTGATTGTCAGAAAACAGCGTTTTTAGTATGTGGAAATTTAGAATTCAGTAGTACTAAATGGACGAAGGTGTATTTAATTAACGATATATTGGATAAGTTGCAGGAAAGTATGGATAATATCTTCATTCTTTGCAGTTTGTCATGGATTAAATAATAAAGGTCTGCATGATTTTGAAAAATAAATGATTATTAGCAAATTATTGGGGGGGGGGGCTGGGGGGCTGGAGAGGGTCTGGGGTTTTCTCCCCCAGAAAATTTTTGTATTTTTCTACCCCTATGGCTGCAATTTCCTGCATTTTCTGAAACAGATTTTTGGATATACAGCATTACATTATGCTGTAGATAGACTGAACCTTCAGTTAAGTACTTGCATAGTATGTTTATGTAGATACCACAACTTGGCCGTCACTTAGGGAGCCAGCTTGATAAACTTAGTGTTCCCGACTCCCACGAAGCGCCACCATGGTTGGCACAGAGCGAAAATTTTTGAAAATTTTGCGTCTCTAAATCATCGGAAATGGCATTTTCAAAGTCTTCTATACGTCTTTTGTTTGGCCCTTTCATTAATTCGTTCATTATGATTTGTGAGTCTATGATATCCGCGAGTCAGGATGGATTATTACGAGAAATGTTATCAAAATATCGATTACAGATATTTGATTATATGTATAATGATTTCAAATACTTCTAGTTTCGAAATCAAATTGTTTTTTTTTTGGTGGGGGCCAAAATTATCCCCCCCCCCTTATAAAACACTTGGTTGAGGGCCTGTTGCCCCCTGCGGTCACTAACTTGTCCAACAACTGAAATCTATAGGGTCTGGGAAATGCAATCCACTGCCTGAGAAATGTTTAAAATCTAATAAGGTATTTATTAACCTGAGTATCAGGTTAGGTATTTATTAAACATAAAAGACAGGACATAAGATTCACAACGCAAATTTCAGTTACTAGAATATCAAACCTCCCTTCTAAATTCCATGTTTTGCTTATATTTTAGAGAAAAGGGACTTTGACTGGGGGGGCCAAAATGGTTGAGTGGGGGGGCCACGATGGGGGCTGGGGGGGCTTTGGCCCCCCCAGTTATATAGTTAAAAAATGCCCTGTTTCTTGATGTTGCTGGGTTTCCTAAGATGTCTTAATTTGTCGTCAAGATACAAAAGTCGTTTGTGCACATATAGCATTTCAGCCAGATTTTTTTCCATAGTTTTTTGTTTCTGACGTATTTATATATGTTCTGGGTATTCTTGGCTAAGTAATTGCATGGTGTGGTTGTTCATAAGAGGAGTTTTCTTCAATGTCCACTCTGTGGCAACGATTCCCTCAATTGCTATCTTAGTCCATTTCACTAAAACACGATCACTGCAGACTTCCTCCAGTTTTTTGTTCCACAATATTTTATAAAGGCGTTCATAGCCACTGGAACGGTTTATTTCGCTATTCGAGTAAATCTTCATGCCTTTCTTTGCAGCATGTGGATAAACATTCAAATCCTCTCTTCCCAAGACGTTTTCATTATTTCTAAAAACATGTAAGAGGAAGTTATTTATTGTTTTAGATTCAAACTTGCACGACCATGCAGCGACAATGATCACATTGTGCTCATCAGTTCAATTAAAAATAAAATTTTGCTCAGGTTACACCAGGTTTTCCTACGATATATTGTGTAACGCGACCTGACCAAGCGATAAGTTTGATTAAATGTTTGCCTGATATATGCTGGTAATCCCTGACAATTTCATTGTTATGCCTTTGGCACATTTCATTATTGCCCTTTCCGAACGGCATCAAATAATTTTTACCAATTTGGTTGGGGGAATGCCAATGTGGCGACTAAGGCGTAAAAAAATACCTGTGGTTCCGGTTCCCGACCGACCCTATTTTTTTCTGCCGACCCTATTATTTTTTTCAACGCGATTGACCGTGCAACCCTATTTTCTCCGGGTGGCTGCAGGCTGCTGCCAAAATGGCGTCTGTTGTCACACTAATTATTGAAAAAACCATGAAAAAATATTTAAAAATAATTATTTCCGACCTATCGACCGTAATTTTTTCGTGACATGAAACCGAAACCACAGGTATTTTTTTACGCCTAACGACGCCGGAAAAAGGCTAATTTTCGAACATATTGGCTTCAATGAAAAATAACGATTCTGAGCATATTTTAAAGGCACACACTTTTGAGCGATGTTATTTAATGGCTCAGATCATGAGAAAAGCATTTTTTTGTGTCGTTGCAGTTCAGTTGACTTTGTCTTCCCAAAACCCTGACGAGTGCTCTTAGTCGCTTGATTGAGCTTTGTTACTTTCCATCTTATGATTCAAGCATAATCATTTAATATTCGCTCTATGACTTGTGTTGCAGACTCCCAGTCTTTTAATTTGAATTTGTTCAGTATTTTTTCAAAGATTTGAGTGATGTTTTGAATATCGTTCTGAAGTTTCAAAGTCGTTACGAAGTTCAAAAGTTCATACTAGTATTGAAATTAAACACTAACAGGCTATAAGTGAAAACCAGGAACACCGGAACTGCTGAACAACATGACTCCGGAACACCAAAAAATGTAAAAATATCAAATAATACATCGGAGGGGGGGGGGAGTGTAATTATTATTGGAATCATTATTGCGTAAAACCTGCCTTCATTCTGACTTGCCGATAGATACTAATAGCAAATAGAAATCATTCTCAGCATTCAGCAGTGAACTTTACTTTTTTTGTCAGATAAATATACGAAATAGACTTCGTATCGCAAGACTCGAGCTTTTCCGTTCGCCCACAATTTTACATAAAAAGGTTTTCCATTTCAAAGTTTTACAACATAAAATATATTTCCCGAAAAATATAAATCAAACCAAAATTGCTATGACGTATACTGGACGATCTCCAAAAGTGACACTAAATGCGAACTTTGAACGTCAGATAAAAGGATTCAATCGGGACTCAATCGCGTGCAATAATGAGACTGATTTTTTCTGTGTATATCCACACCGGGCAAGCTTGAAAAATATGCCTGGCTACGATGGGAATCGAACCTACGACCTTTAGAATACTAGCCCAATGCTCTACCAACTGAGCTACGCGGTCAGGTCGGTTCGAGTATGTGATATTTCGGAACAGAATCTAGTCCATACGATATCAATATAATTACAATATAAAATTTCCAAGTGAACTACCTAATTAGATAACAAGTACGATCGTACTATAGTACTATAGTGGACCAGGAACTGCGTGAACCAGTTTCGATCTTGTGCAACTGAATCGTTAAACGTTCAAAACCTTCGAGATTTTGACTTGATAAACAAATAACTAGACACTTGTGACTTGTGAAACTAATGTTCTCGAAGTTGGCAACGTAGTGAGTTCGCTAAATGTTTTGCTTTAATTTGGTCTGCAAGATATACTTTATCCGGGAAAAATGTGTCTAGTGCCGTTGTCCCAGTTGATTTGGACCCCAGTAGATTTGGACCCCCGAGTCCAAATCTACTAGTGGATATGGACCCCCCGTTGGCGGATTTGGATCCCCTTCAAAAGTTAAATATCGGTAATGTGAACACAATAATATAAACCAAATTCATAATAGCGATCAATCTGAAGTATTTAGTCACTTTAAATATTTGTGATAAAGGCCACAAAACGACTAAAATTGAAAAATAGAATACAATCATAGAAATTGCATACAGCATTTGGATCGACACGAAACACGATTTTCACGAGTGTTTTTAAACAATATTTAAAGTGATGGTGACTCATCTAAATGGGAGCCTGCGATTATCCACTAATGGCTTTTAACAAAAGCTATAGAAATAGAATATTAGAGCAACGCAATTCCATGAATATTTTTAAACAACATGTGATGGTGGCTCATCTAAATGGAAGCTTTTTTTATCTATTTTGCTCGCATAAACGTCATATTGCGTATATACATGAGTTTTTAGTGTGTTTATTTATCCTTTTATAGTTGTATATACGCTTTCCATTTCGACCTTTCTAGTTTACTTGTAGTTTAAGATTTTTGAATTTGGATCTCACCGGCAATAAAATGATGACAGGGTGGGTTAGGTAAAAAGGCCCACAGTAATTGGTATACATGCTGTTGTGGTGCCCCTTCCCTAGTTGGCAAAGCTAAAATATGAATAAATAAACTCGTGGACTATCCATGTTTCAATCTAGCTCAACTAGATTTAAAGAATGCTAAAGACTATTCGTTTACTGCAATTTTGCATTGTCAATAATAAATGTTGTTTTACCTTTCGCTCTCACCATCGGAAAAAATTTGCAATTGTGGTATGAAAAAGGGGCGTGATTCAGTCCATAGATGAATAGAATATAAAATATCAGTTCTAGGAACTATAGATGTGTCTAATTTCAAGGTGTCAAATCCATTGCCTATCATTGGTCAAATCCCGCAAAATATAGACATGCTTTTATACATTCAGTTCTATATATATATATATAGTATAACCCTGTTGATAAAAATATAGTTTTTTTTGTACTAGATAGAGTTTTTCA